GTGCAAACACCAACACCCAAGCGTTCCCTACCCATCACATGCAGTCCAGCCTGCTTTTACTGGTTTGAGGTTGACACCTCACCGCTTCGCTTCGTCCCTCCCGTTCTGTCGCCGTCGGAGGCAGCGAGCAGTCACATCCCCGCTTACCCTCTCCTGCCACTCACTATTTTCTGGCCAGTTTCACTGATTTACATTTGCTAAGCCTAGAATCGAAGCCAACAAGAACCAGGAGCTTCATTTCCTTTATGAGACCACCATGAGAACTAGCAAAGGCTTATAATAACCCAAAAATGAGAATAAAAGAGTAGGAGCCACTGCTTTCCCCCAGACAAAGAAAAGGCCCAGCTTATTGCAATTGCCCATTACTAGCAGAATCTAATTAAAAATGTTTCATTAACAGCACAGTCCAAGAATAAAACCTTAGACAAAGCACTGAACGCTGATCAGACCTCCCAATGTGAGCCTATGGAGGTGGGCTTGATCCTTCAAAGTACTGAATGCTCCCAGACCAAAGCATTAGGTCACGTGTATGAATTTTAAGAATATGAATATTGCCGCCAAAGCCGGAGCAAGAGCACACGCACTGTGCTCCTTCAGTGACTAGTAATTAGCAGCATCAAACCCATCAGTCATGTAGGAACATCACCCTTGGGCACCGAGGGAGCCACAGGTGCTCTGTTGGGTCTCGTCAGGACCAGCACATATCAGAAGTTTCAGAATAAGACTTCTCCAGTTTTTGCTAAGCCTGCTAAACTTAAAGTACCATTTTAAATAGTTTCACTTTTCTACAGAAGTATCTTTCCTAGGACTTCTAGGGACTTAAATATCTCCCCCACAATTTGTACAATCTAGGCTGTACCAATTATATATGCCTGGTCCTGGTCACGATGCTTCATGTTTTATCAACCATATGTTTTAAAAGCACAGCTGCGCTCTCAGAGGTACACTGGGGCTAAATGGGTTAGAAGCCTAGCTTGTAGCACAATTTCAACCAGCAAAAATGGCAAAGTTACTCCACATAATATTTGCTTTCACAAGAGTTGTGATTTCAGCTTCTGAGCCCGTGTGTCGCAGAGAAAGGCAGGAATATAGTGCAGGGCTTTGAATATGCCTCTCGTTTTCCTAACCATCTCTTAGGAACAGTGCCATGGCAGACACTGGAAAGTGTGTCCAGTGACAGAATTTTTTGTGCTTTTAAAGCATCATTTTGGAACATTTACAACTGACTTTTCATTTTCTTATTAAAATGCCTGTTGCCTTAAATGTCCATGAATATGGCACATCTGACTATAAACAAACTGCACACGTAAACACATAAAACTAGAAAAATACAAAACAGATGAAGAATCTGATTTTTTTTAAAAAGCTGTGATTCTGTTTCTGTTGAATTTTTCTCAAGTAAGTGTTTCTGTGCTTTTAAATAAGTAGTGAACACATTTGTACAGAATGCTAAAATTAAAAGTTCAAAGAGGGAACACTCGCAACGTGGTATTTGCAGCACAAAATTTTGTAAGCTAGTTGGTAATCCAGAGAAACACTTTACTCCACCCAAAATTTGCTTTCTCTCCGCCTCAAAAGTCCCAATTATTAATTTTAATATAAATTGTATATTCTTCACCTTCTTTTATATATCTTTTGGATATATTAGTGTAACAGCTAAGTATGCAGAGATAAGACATCGTGTAAAATAAGAGCTAAACATAATCTCCCCCCACCCCAAAAAAACCCCATGGGGTTGGGGGGGGGGGGAAATCTGCAATTAAACCAGTAAGCTGCTAGGATCCCACTATGATTTTGATTCTAGACTTGAGACTGAGATAAGACTCGTGTAAATAAGAGCTAAACATAATCTCCCCCCACCCCAAAAAAACCCCATGGGGTTGGGGGGGGGGAAATCTGCAATTAAACCAGTAAGCTGCTAGGATCCCACTATGATTTTGATTCTAGACTTGAGACTCTTGGAATGTGCTAGGTTGTTCCACAAAGCTCATTTCTCTTACAGGAAGTGATCTAATATACAAAGTACTTTACAATTTTCAATCAACAGAAATACAGATATGAATGTATTAAGCCAATATCTATAAAGCAAGACATGAGGTCACTTCCTGACAACTAATATCTAAAATCGACATTTGTTACTGCAAGAAAGCACGCTTAGACAGCGGTAGTTGAAACAAGATCTTTGTATTTTTACAGAGTGGGTATATTGGCTCTGCTACCTCTGTAATCATTGCTGATGCATAAACCCTTCCCTGCCACTCCCCGGCATGTCACCCTCCAACAGCCCTTCCTCACTGCTCCGGAGCGTTTCAGCACAGTACTGTTAGTTAGAAAACAAGCTTTTTTCCCTTTTTCTTTATTTTTTTTTATTTGGCAGATTCAGAAACCTTTCTGTGGTAACACCAAAACCTGGTTGGATAGTCCAGCGTTGAATTTAAGAAGCATTTTGCAAGGGTTTGGGTTTTTTTTGGCAGGGGCAGGAGGGAAGGGGTCCTTTTGGAGGGGAAGGAGCAATAGGAAAGGAAGGAGGCTGTTTGTTTTTCAAAGCAGCTTGACAAACACATCCCTCTCAAGCAAAAAAAAAAAAAAAAAAAAAAAAAAAAAAAAAAGAGGCCTCCATCAAAAGGGTGTCAGTGGGGGAGGAGGGGACAGACCTGGCAGTAATGGGAAGTCTGTTCCGTAGCAGGAGGCTCATAGTACGTTAAATATTTATAACGAGCAAACGTGCTTGGTCTTCTTTGTACCCGATCTGCGATCCCCACCCTAGTTTGACTGAACTGGCGAAACATTAACAACGCTTAGATATTAAGCGTACTGAAACCCAGCAGCGTGGAGACGTTGCAAGAAAAGCCAGTTGTGCCGAACACCAGGTAGAAAACCTCAGGCGGGGAAGGGGCAAAAACGGGATGGAGAGGCTGGAGAGGCCTAACCACAGAGCAAGCTGCAATCTAAAAATCAAGCCGCAACTTGCTTTAATGTTGAACCAAAACTGCGATGACTAAGAAATAAAGCCAATGTTGCTGAACTGGCTACGGCTGCCTTTTCTGTAACATGCATAAATGTAGGTTGATCATTATCATTTAAGCTGGAGTTTAAAATTTTTCCCTTCAGTATTCAATTCTGGCTGCCTGTGAACTGCATGGGGCACAAATACCCATTTCTGATTTTAAGTTTTTAGTCTAAACAGAAATGCTCAGCTACCATACATCGGTCAGTACAAACAACAGGTATTTTCCAGCGAAACAAAAACTGAACCAGTGTAAGGTTGAAGACACAATGGCACACTGCTGCCTCTTACCATTATTCGGCTGCCTTTGGTCGTTTGTTGAGCTATACAGCATCAATATTCAGCTCAGATAAGCATGTAGAGAGACAGCTATATACATTTAAAAATAAGTAACTTCGAAACACTATAAAGACAATGCAATGGAAAAACAAAACAAAGAAAAGAGGTAGAAATCCAGTCCAACCAGGTATGAGCCTGACTCAGTAGAAACCACCTAGGCTTACAATAACTTTCTGAAGAAACAGATGAGTCCAAACTATCTTGATTGCACAGTCAGCAATTTCCTATCTATCACAAATGACTAAACTGCCTAAGTAACTCTATGCCTCTCCTACCCTAAGACCTTTCCCTCTAAGCACAGTCTTGCAGCATATTATAAGTAAGATTTCTGTGGTCCTCTGAGAAGCTCAGTGCCTGCCAGTAAATCTCAGTACTACTATTCTGCACAAGAATCAACAGTAGCCGTCTATAAGCCCTGACAATGGAAATCTCACTTACTTAGGGAATTTTTCCCGTAATTAGCAGTTTATCCAGAGAACTCACTTCCTAAATATGACATGTACGCTACACATTAAAATTTATGTAAAACAACTTTCAATAAGATTTACAAAATAGCTACAAAAATAAAGGCAGTGCTTATGAATTGTGTAAGTTAGATGCAAATTCCAGATGCAACGGGATCTCCAGAGTTTAAAAATATCATCAATCCAGGAAGGAAGTTTAGCTCCAGTGGACACTTCATCAATGTAAACTCTGTTCAGGTCAAACTTTCTAAACAAAAAGCCACAGTAACTCCACACTCAACAATTTACTGCTAGAAGAAAAGCTGGAGTGTTGTTACATGGTTCCTCACTCTTCTGCTCATTCACTTTATTATGCATTAAAGTACATTAATGAAATGTTCAACATTAAATATTGTTTAAGTGATAACGTTCACTCTTCTGAGTATGTGCTGGTGACAAATAAGAGCTTAAAATCATGATGGCCTTGGATTTTGTCTTGTTAAATCACAGCATGCATCTTTTTCTGCCATCTGTTTAAAACGGATTTAATTAAAAAGGAAAAGTCATATTTTGTTGTTTCATCTTATGAGAGATTCTGAAACAGGCCAGGACTGTGTTTACTTCAGTCCGTTATTCCCAATTTAAGTTGCAAACCCTCTGTATTTTACTGCATTAGAACATGATAATTTTGTGGACTTGGAAGGTTTCTTCAGTCATTCTACCAAAGAGCATAAAATATACATAATCCATGTAAAACATTTCTCTTTTTAGTTCTATTTTTCTTTAGCCAAAGATGTTAGTTAAAACTATCTGCCAAAGTATTACACTTCAACTATGAGTCTTTCAGCCTTTTATTCCTGTGTATGCTCAGCCTCATTACAGAATGGACAGACAAGCTGTAGACATTTACTCATAACCACAGAACACCTTAAATCAGAGTTAGAAGTGATGGATTTTTTCCTTGTAACTCTCATTCTTAGACAACGCTGCACTCTGCAGCACAGCTAGATTCAGTAACGTAGTTCGGAGAGCCAGAAGCTACATTTAAGGTAACACACACAACTTGCTTTTAATCTCAAGTGTGAAGCTGCCTTGAGCTGAACACCAGTCATTCTACAGTCACCAACCAAATACTCATTCTTAAATTTGTTCCTCTTACTGAACATCTTGAAACAGTGATTTCTTTTCTCTTCTCCAGCCTCTTCACATACCTATAGTTTCGGGTAGGTCCAAGAGCTCATTGTGCTGCAAGTCAAGGTTGGTGATCTGTGTGCAGCTTCCAATCTCTTCTGGAAGATGTTCGAGCTGATTGTGCGCTACATCCAGCGTTATGAGGTTACACAACTCACCTAAAAGCACACAAGAAAATCAAAACATGAAGTTCTTTAATGTACAGCTCTAGACAATTACTTCCTCACAGAGATTAATAGAATCAGACAGATTTGGGGATAATCTGGAAAAAAGCTATTGCTACCATAAAGTCATACATACAAAATAAGGCATTACAGGATCCTAAGTTCATCAGTCAGATCTAAAACCTGATCAAGAGTTTGGAAAAACTCAGCTAAAGCTTTTACAGATTTTCTGAAGAAATCTTATTTATTGATCGATTTTATTCTGACAGTTCAAGCTGTGGAATACGAGTACAAAACCTATACCTCCCACGTTTCAGGCTGACCAGAAGTTTAAAACACCGTTAAATGAATTGTATTGAATTTTGAGAAATTGAGATCTCATTTATACCATGAATTACTTTCAGGCACAAAATCAACAATTAGGAGACATCAAAATTATTTGGCTGACAACCTAGATAATCCACCCAAAGTCCCGAGTACTATTTTTAATCATTTTTAGTCATCACAAAAAAGGCAACATATAAGTAAACTGTAAACCTATTTACAGAGTGTGATATTTTATATATGCAAGCACAACTATAGCAAATAAAAGTCTGAAATAAAAGGCTTATCTGTTAAGCCTTAAAAAAGATTGGATTTGGTTAGAGTTTAGAACTACTTTACACTGAACTGCTTCATTCCTGTCATTTACATGTTAATTGAAAAGTACAGCTAGGCACAACTCTCCATGTACAGTAGTTTCACTTATTTTAATGACAAACATGTTCTGAGCAATAGCTTGTTTGGTTTAAAAAAACAGAGTGTGCGCATGAATACAGGTGTATGCATTCATATTTTCTGCATCTGATGGAGGTAAAGTTAATGCAAATTATTTGAACAGCTTCGACTCTATCCAGTAAAGATGAGGTCACTGTATTTGTGTATAAGAGCATGACTCAGCGGGTTACAAATTTGGAAGGGTAGCAAATTCCTTTTGAGGAGCAAATGTCTATTTTTGAGCTTCAGCGTTGTATCTTTACCACAATCCTTTAAGGATTTTCCCACAGGCCTGCAGAACTAGTTTGGGCAAGTTCTGATGTGTAGTGTCTACCCATTAGATCAGCAGATAATCATAAATGATGATTTAATAAATTGGAAAGTATTTATGAACTCAAATTCTGTATTGAGTTGCAGGTGTCATGTAGCCACAATACTTACTATGTATCACAAAACAGTTGTGAAATGCCAGGAAAAAAGCAAAACAAAACAAAAAAACCCCCACACCGACCCCAATAGCTTCATTATTCCATTTTTCTTAGATTGTTAACATACAACTGATCTTATTTCCTGCGTTTATTGACCTAAATAGAATGTTTTTCTAGAAACTAGGCAGATGGAAATGTAAACGTGGTGCTTAAGCAGCTCCTCCATCACTATGTGTGTCCTCTCTCAAGTCAGCATTCAAAAGTACTCCAGGCAACCAGAGTCAACAGCCAAACGTCCTGTATCCAGCACTGTGTAAACCACGTTTCAATGATGCCATTAATATGCAGAAGAAAGCAAATGTTGGAAAAAATTGAGCAAGCATTAATGTTCTGTGGTAGAAGCATCTTTTTGTTATTCATGAAAACAAGCGGGCAAAGCACAGAAGGCAATAGAAGGAGGAAGAAAAGCTTGAGGAAGACTTCAAAATCCCTCCCTCTAAACAAACAAAAAAAGAACCCCACAAATCTTTAGTAAGAGAACACAAGAACCTTCACGTACTTTGGGGCAGTAGTTTTCACTTCATGGTTTGCTGTTTTCATTTGTTTTCACTTCAGACCTAAATCAATGATGTCAAATTTGAAATATGGCATAAATTTCATTTCATCACACTGATTTCTCATTTACTTGACTCTTCCCACTCTACATCTGCTGAAGTCGAAGAAAGACTTGGGTTTTTGCAGCAACATTTGCTGCACTTCATTTTTGCACCTGCTGAAAACTTTGACAACAGCAAGCTACGTGTTTGAAACAAACATCTTACCAGCTGACTCTGGGGAGGGGAAAAAAGGAACGGGATGTCTATGTTTATTTACACAATTAGGGGCAAGCTAACACTTTGGTTTAATTTGAATAGCCATGCTTTAACACTGTTATAGTAGAGAGGCATGCGCTATTTTAAAAAGCGACACTGGTAAACATTCAATAAAAATTTTAAATGTTAAAATAGATTGAGGACTGTTCAACAAATTTTAGACTTTGGAGCAGAAATCAAGCGAAAGTTCAAGCCCTATCATGAAGTACAGTGACTTAAGGAAAAGAAATATTATAATGTTCAGCTTTTAGTTCACATTGCTCAGTAAGGAATCTTGCTCTCAAATGTAATAATCCTTATGGTTTGACAGCACGTCACCAAAATGTTCTTTTTTTCCCCCCCTAAGAGCAGGAGGAGAGGGACAGTGAAGTGCTGCTGGCACTGAAATTCTTTCAATACTTTAACTTGGATTGCTGAGACAACACAGAGTGTGCAAGTCAACAAAAAGCAAAAAACTTCCAATATGATTAACAAGGTGAAAAACGTTCAGGCGATGTGGTAGAGGCTCATCTTCACATGCAAAGGCATACAGAGGACCAGTGGGTGGGAGAACCCAAATACTGGGTGTCTCAGAAGAGCCATCAGCCCAAAGACCAGTGTGAGACCCACCAGTGAGCAAATGGAAGGGCTTTCCGGGCACCTCGCAGGCTGAGGGCTGTTACTGCATACAAGGCTGAACACCTACTACGAGGGGCAAGGAAGAGCAACTTGGTGTGGTGAAAGTTGCTATGGGATCTTTAGGGAAGGGGAAAGAGAGGAATCAATGTGATTTAAGAAGGACAAGTGTGGGAAAACAGAGGGATAAGGAAATAAAAGGGTCCAGTCCTTTACAAACCAATGCTGCTCACGCCCTGTGGCCGATCAACACCATCTGCCCTGTCTTCTCCTGAAACTCTATTTTCCTGGGTGAGAGGCGCTCTGTTCTGTGCGCATGGAGGTCTGAGTACCAGCAACACTGCAGTTAACGTGACCAGCGCTACTGAAAACATCCCAGTACGTGGGACCAGAACCACGCTGGGCACGGAGAGCGCGCTGCCGCCAGGCCGGCAGCTAAAGAACAGGGGCAGCTCTTTCACCGGCTGACCGACGGCAATGGTTTACCCCGTGAATGGACACACTGTGCGCTGCTCTGCTGCACAACAGCGGCTCTTTCAAAAATTATGCCAGGATAAACACATGGCTTAAACAATCAATACAACAAATAATGATCTGCAAGAACAAAGAGGCCAAACTTAAGGCCATCTGCACAATGCTCTTCCCAGGAGCTGATGTAAAGCCAGCTTGTTTCAGTGACTGGAAGCATCCTTCTTACTGCCCAAGACACTGGCGACTGTACTGAAGGAAACGCTTCTCAAAAAAAGGTGAAAATAAGTTTCACTAAGATACAACTGAAATCTGGCATTTTTGCTTGGCCAGGGTAAGAAATATACGTCAAAATCAAAAAGCAAGTCTTCCTAAAGGAAAGATTTGCTCAGGTACAAAAAGAAAAATGGCTAATGAGAGAGGAGCTCATGATCTTATTCATATTAAAAGAATGAACATTTGCTCTTTTCTGGTGTACTACATGAATTTGCTGAAACACATTTGTATCTTAATCAATTTAATAGAAATACGCCAGCTAGAAATGTGCTGCAACTCAAAATCAGCCTTCTCCAGAAAGCAGTTTACTAAAGAAAAACCCATTCCCGTTTGCCCCGTGGACAACTCCAGCATCACTTCCCCAAAGGACTGTTCGAACAGCCAAATAACTGGAGTAAGGCAAGCACTGCTTTAGGGAGATACTAATCACAGGTAAAATGAACTAACTTTTTTTGCCTCAAGTAATGGCCAAAATAGAGAACACTTAAGCTCACAGTAGTGAAAAAAGGATTCCCTACGGACTACTTGCAACTGCACTGAAGGGACAAGCATCCTTAGGACAATTAGAAAATAAACTAGGAAGGTACTGGGGTTTGTGGTTGGGTTTTGATTTTTTTTTTTCCCCCTTTTCTTCTCCCCCCC